AGGTAGACAGACCTGTACCGCAGCTTCATCAAGGGCTACCCGGGTACCGATCTCTTTCAGTACAACATGTTACTGAGATAAACTACACAGTCATCTGCAAAGAACTGGATGTGATTAAGTTCTAATATAATAATCTACTTTGTTCTCTACCTGTCTGTCTCTCTTTCTGTCTCCAGTCCAGTCCATTGAGGATCCATTTGACCAGGACGACTGGGAGAACTGGGCCAAGTTCACCGCCTCCACAGACATCCAGGTGAGACAGACAGACAGACAGGTATGCAGACAGACAGACAGAGAGTCAGACAGACAGTCACAGATGAGGTGACCAGGCTTGAATGTGAGTCTGAATATTTTTTGTGGATCAGACTTTAAAGTGACTCACCTGTGTGTGTGTGTGTGTGTGTGTGTGTGTGTGTGTGTGTGTGTGTGTGTGTGTGTGTGTGTTTCTAACCAATCAGATCGTAGGAGACGACCTGACGGTGACCAATCCAAAGAGGATCCAGCAGGCTGTGGACAAGAAGGCTTGTAACTGTCTGCTGCTCAAAGTCAACCAGATCGGCTCTGTGACCGAGTCCATCCAGGCGTAAGACACCTGTCTCTCTCTCTGTCTGTCTGCCTCTCTAACGATCCCTCCCCTTCCCTGACCGACTGTCTGTCTTCCTACCTGTCTCTCTCTCAGGTGTAAGCTGGCTCAGAGCAGCGGTTGGGGTGTGATGGTCAGCCATCGCTCCGGAGAGACTGAAGACACCTTCATCTCTGACCTGGTGGTGGGACTCTGTACTGGACAGGTAGACACACACTCAGACAGACAGGTAGAAGGACAGACAGATGGGGGAAGAGGGAAAGAGACAGACACACAGACATACAGCTAAACAGACAGATAGACAGACGGGGGGAAAGGGAGACGGGTAGAGGGAAAATAAAGTATGGAGGCATGTAGATCAGGAAAAGGATGAAAACAACAACAGCTGTTCAATGAAGTGTCTGATTCACTGACCACCTGTCTCTCTCTCTCTACATGTCTGTCTGTCTGTCTCTCTCTCT